CTTCTTTCTTGTTTTCAAGAAAAATTAGAAATATTTTACTTTAACAATATAATATTAACAAACGGTATTAATATATGAAATCACTAGTGCCCTCGTGTTTCAATCAAGCAAGAAATTCTTTCTTATTTTCCAAAGCTGAAATGTGATCTTTGTGTATTAATTTTTCTTTAATTGTCAAAAAAATAATCTAAATGATATTAAATTCACAGCATAGGCAATTTTGAGAGGTGAAAATACAGTTGACTAAATATATCATGAAAATGTAAAATTATTCAAAAACCAATCTATAAATACCCAGTCTGAGTTTTTCCAACTTCGTATTTCTTTGCACTATTGTGAAGGTATATTAATATATTGTACTTCAAAAAATAAACAAAAATATCAGCAAAAGCTAAATAATTTTTCCTAATAAGGCAAATCAAGTAGTTAAGCTCCACCTTTCCACCATATAAGGCAAATAAAATTATTAAGCTCCGCCTTTCTACCATATAAGGCAAATCAAATTGTTAAACTCCGCCCTTCTGCCACATGACTATGTTAGTAGCTTAACTCCACCCACTTCTACCAAAGTGTAACCAATGATAATGTCTACATAGTAAATGTACTAGATTATTACTAGTAATGCATTATACATTACTAGTGTGACCATAACACTATGGCAAGTGACATAATTGTTAACGTAACAATCATCAAACAAAACAATTATTTTGCTTTTTATATGAGGATAAAAATTGCTATTTAAACTTTGTTCCTAAAATCGCAAATTTTACTTTAAAGAATAACAAAATGTGTAACACAGAAAGCTGACTAACTGACCTTTAAAATTTATTTTACATGATATTCATGACTTGTATGGCCACACTAGACTAAGTAACTACATGTGCATTACTCCAGGGGCATTCAACTATGTACATGTATATGGTATGAATCAAAATGGAATAAAGAAAGTATAAGAAGCAACAAACAAGATATTAAAATGCATAAAATTCTGACATTTTTTTTTTCAATATCTTAGCTATGAATAAAAATATGTGGAATGATCTTCTAAATGGCTTGCCTTAAAAAATAAGTGTCCATGTTGCCAATTATTCTGTCTCATTCAGACTTTTTTAAAGGGACTTCAATGATGTTTTTTTTTACTTTCGGGACTGGAAAATAATTTTCGAGATGAATGTTCCTTTTGATGTTCAGGTCTTGATTAATAACTTGTGTGCAAAATTATTATCTTTTTTTTTTTTTTTTTTTGAAAACATGAATAGTTTACAAAACTATCATCTACTTTAAAGTTTAATTCATGGAAATGAAAAACTTTTACAACTTCAGCTCGGAAAATTTGAAGAAGGTATCTATTGAAACACTGAAGTGTTTTGAAAGAAAAAGGTTAAAAAGATCTATTGAAACATGTTTTCCCAATAAAGAATAAGGTAAGGTTTGCATAAATTCTGACAAAAACAAGACCATTTTAAGACAATTTCTACCAAAAACAGGAAATCTATGTAAAGTGTTCAAAATTATTGTTGAGCCAAACTAAAATCTATCAAAATATTTTGTCCAAAAAAAAAAAAAGACAGGCTAAAATCCTACTAAAAATACTAAGGCTTCAAAGCCAACTAATTGAGATCAGTTTCTACACTAGACATACATGTATATTGTAGATGGGTTTTGGTGATATAATGGTGACGGGAGATTTCAACGAACACTGTGACTTATACCTACCCGAACTTGTACAGCCATCCGATTACAGTCGGCTTCCTTCATACGCAGTTCCTTTTGTAGATGGCCCCGCGTTGACTCGAGGGAGCTCTGCAGCTTTGTCAGAGCCAAATTTTCCTCCTAGATATACATGTATATATATAGTCATAAAATAATATAATGACTGATACTATGAATGATTCTTGAACCCTTGTCTGATCTTATATCACCGGAATGGCATTTTCTTATATCACCAGAAATGGCATTTTCCTATATCACCAGAAATGGCATTTTCTTATTATCACCAGAATTGGCATTTTCTTATATCACACGAAATGGCATTTTCTTATATCACCGGAAATGGCATTTTCTTATATCACTCGAAATGGCATTTTCTTATATCACTCGAAATGGCATTTTTTCTTATATCACCAGAAAAGACATTTTCTTATATCACTGGAAATGGCATTTTCAAATATCACCAGAAATGGCATTTTCTTATATCACAGAAATGGCATTTTCTTGTATCACCAGAAATGGCATTTTCTTATATCACCCGAAATGGCATTTTCTTATATCACCAGAAATGGCATTTTCTTATATCACCAGAAATGGCATTTTCAGACAAATATCTTCATAAAATATAGAAAAAAATATTCTTTGATTCCATTTGTCTTTGTTGTTTTTTTTTCATGCCATTTCAGATGAATAACATCAGACATTACATCATTAGTGACATCATCATTTTAGCTAGCCAATCAAAATGCAGGATTACATTTTCAAATGTTTGTAGAGTTATACCTTTAAACAATAGGTGCTTTCAGATCTTGGCCAAGGCTGTAATGATATTTCTTGTTTTCATTTAATATTGTCATCAAAGCATACATTTAATAAGTACATGTTACGATGTACCATAATTATATGCTCAGTGTAAAACTGATTATTATCAAAGTCAGATGACAACATATCGTTCATGAATGTTAAAGGGTGCAGTAAGCTTCACTTGCTGAAATATTCTATAAAAAAAATTAAACCTTTGAAAGTCATTAATTAAGGAACAAAATCCCACAAAAACACTGAAATAGCAGGAAAAAAATTCATTATTAATTTTGTGAATTGTTATTTTTTGTATAAATAATCTTGAAATCTGATGTAATACTACACTTTACATGTCTGGGGATTTTTTTAAAACTAAATTACTTTTTTTATAATAAATGAATAAAGTTTAAAATGTGAACATTCTTCATTTGATGCTATAAAATGCACACAGTGGGCATAAAGCATATTCCATAAAATACACTCTAATTCATCAATAATGACATCAACATAAAATGATGGTAAAAAACATCTGAGAAAAGTGAACAAAAGTACATGTACCTCAAAACCTTTAAAATGATTTAATGTGAAAGAATGCATAAAATTGATGAGGGGAAAAAAACTAAAATATAAGTGAAACTGTGACTTGGGAAATGACTATATAAATATTACTGGAGATAACCTCCTTTTCAACCATTTAAATATCTACAAACAGAAAAACATTCAAAAATTTTAAAATCACTGTTGTCATATTTAGAATATACACAACAATCTACATTTATTTTAATTATTTGTTTCTCTGATCATATCTTTTTTGTGTATCATTTCAATAATAAAGTGAAAACAAATTATTTTATGTTATATAATTAAACAAACATCATTTTTACTTTAGACAAAAGCTGTTTGTCAGACATGCTCGATTATTCTCAGTGCTGGATAAACTAAACCTAAATGTTACAATGAGAGTAAAAGATCTCACTATTTTTTGAATATTTGTGCTTAAAAACAAATTTGAAAATAAAACAGCCTGAAAGAATTATAAAAATATCTCTGTAATACAGAAAATTAATAAAGATTTAATGTCAAACTTCTTGAAACTTGGAACCAGTCCTTAATACCCACTTCTGAATGGATCATTCAAATGCGAAATTCAAAACTGACCAATGAAAGACCTCCAGTAGCAGACTGGTCCCAAATTTCAACATTATGACCCAAGACCATAGATGAATTATACATCATACACACAAATCCAACAAATACTAATAAAAAGTACAAATTAAAGGCATAAAATCCTAGTATGAATTTAAAAGTAAGTTATATTCCAAACTAATTTTTAAACAAACTAAATTTGTAACGGTAAAAATAACACCAGTCACCAAACAAACCCAATAAGCATATGAAAATAAGCTTCTATCAGGCATATGGTATGATTCTCAAAATCAAGCCAAACAAAAAAACTTTAATGAAGAAATCTTACCCGATTTGACTCAATTTGTACCCGCAATTCGGCGATCATTCTGTCCCTGTCAAGTAATTCAGAACGTAGGCGCTGAAAAAAAAATATATATATACATAACTATTTTAATCCTCACCCCTTTTCATGCATAGATAAATATAATATAAGCAGAGGGGATAAAGATGGTCATTTAACCCTTTCCACCCTATATATCTTGAATGGACTTGTCCATATTTCAATCCAGACAAAGCCATTTATCATTTTTAGGGAAATTTTCAAAACTTCTGCTAACTCAAACATTTTTTTGATATTTTTTTCCACAATTTTGCTATGCACATTTTTCACATAAAAAAACACGTTTATGAATCATTTATTAATATTAAATTACCAAAAATGATGAAATAAAATGAACCCGATAACCATTCACACACAAAACATCAGTGAACACATTCAAAGCAATTTGACAATACATATGTGCATATTAATATGGATTACATTTACCCGTAGCCTTAAAAGTGCAAAAGAACATAAAACCGTGACAAAATTACCTCAAATTGAACATTTATTAACAAAACGTCAAACATTAACCATTCTATTTCAATTTCAACACCATGTCATTGTAAAAAAAAAAATACTAATTATCAATAGAATTCTTATCATTCTAAAAATATAAATACTTTTGATCACTGAAGCAAAGGGTACGATTCGTGTAACAATTTTTGTATATCAAGTTGTGTTTATGCGTCTTAAATGTATATCTGAAACGCCCCAAATTAAATTGACAAAATACTAAACAGAGCCCCAACAATAACTGATTTATCAAAAAAAAATTTTTTTTGCAATTCTAAATGTAAATGATTTTTATCTTTCAACATACCAACACAGAACATACCCAAACATAACACCAACAACATCAACACAATTCCTACCCCCAAACACAAAACCTACTCAAAAACAATAATATCTTCCCCCCACAAAACACAAAATCTAGCCAAACCCAACACCAACCCCCAACACAACATCTATCCCAAACATCCCAAACAAACACAAAATCTAGCACAACACAACACATACCCCCAACACAACATGTAACACAACACAAAAAGTGACATATGTAATGAGCTGTGACTCTTAGAATTGCTGAATTCAAACAAATATAAAGCATACAAAGTAACCAAGGAAGCAATAAAGTATAATTAAAACATGTTGGTCAATGACAATATATACACATGCTTATAGATCTATCAGTCTTACCATATACCAGAACTATGTCAAAAGGTTCAATATTTCTTGAATGATGTTGTTACAAAAATGACATGCATCAACTGAGGAATTTGGTGTTTTGAACAAAAAATGTTATTATTTTTAGGTTTTAAAATTTTATTTTTTTTATATTTGTTGCCATTTCACATAGAATTGCATTATATAACCTTCTCACATACATGTCTACATCAAAAGTCAAACTGTTACAAAACAGTATAATGTTAATTTAATTATTATTTTTATTGCAAATCAGAAAATTTAAGTCCTGAAAACTCTTTAAAATATCATCAGATAAACATGATAAAAGTGATGTTTTATAGGTGCAGGTTTCTATCACCATTTTGTGCTGGACACATACCTTAATTCTCTGTTATAAATATATATGTGTGTAACATTATTATACATTGTATGTGCTAATGAGGAAATTACAACGCCTCGGACTTGCATACTTTAAACGATGAAAAGCTATGAGTGGTAAAATTATCATGAAATTTTCAAAAATTGTATAATTAAGTTTGTTTTTTTATAATCATATAGTAAATATAACATATAAAATTATAAAATGTTCGCAAGGGATTATTTTCTTGAATTTAAGATAAATGTTTGATAAGAATCTAAGTAACATATGAACCTAATAGAAATTTTAAAAAAGATATATATTTGCATATACCAATTAGTCCAAAAGTCACACACACACCCCCCCCCCCCCTAAATTTTTGGCTTCTTGAAAATCAGAATATATAGTAAGAAGACGGGCAAGAAAATAGGGCACAATAACATAATCATGGCATTGAAATTTCTTGCTATAAGAAAGAACTTCAAAATGTTACATACAGTGACAAACAATTTATATAAATGAAGCCAAAACAAAACAGACAAACAAATACTGTACTATGATCAATAAAGAACTTATTTTCAAGCAACTTCATTGAAAAGTGATAATATTATGTCAGAAATAGAATAAAAGAACGGTGAAAAATATCAAAATGAATCAGGCATTCGACAGTACAATAATTTGTTTACACACCTTTACATTAATCATTTTACAAACAAAATTTTTTTTCAAGACTTGAATAAATATAAGCCACGTCATGACAAAACCAACATAGTGCATTTGCGACCAGCATAGATCCAGACCAGCCTGCACATCGGTGCAGTCTGACCAGGATCCATGCTGTTCGCTATCAGTTTCTCTACTTGTTATAGGGTTTGTAAGCGAACAGCATGGATCCTGATCAGACTGTGTGGAAGCAGTCTGATCTGGATCCATGCTGGTCGCAAACGCACTATGTTGGTTTTGTCATGGCGCGGCTCATATGATTTATTTCTTACATACCTCATTAGAGATATCTGTATCAGCAAGTCTCTTTATCAACATGTCTCGTTGCTCGCTGAGTCGGAGTGCCGCAGCCTCTTGTTTGTGTTGCTCCCTTAGCAACCGTCTCAATGTGCGGTTTGTTGCCTCAAAGTCGGCTAGCTTCTCTAACAGTAAGTCCTTTGTTTTGGCCAGTCTAGCGCTATCTCCTTGTGAAATCCTTGTATCCTAAACAATACAGACATTGGTCATACATACGGTTCTTTATATTTTAAAACATCATCCATAATCTATGTGTGTTTATTTGTTTGGTTTTAATTCGATTTTAACACATTTGTTTCACCATATCTCGGTAGCCGGTCAACCTAATCTGCTTTCCTGGACAACTTTCTAGTAACTACAAATTTCTCTGCAAGTACCATACTACTAATCCCTCATGATTTCTAAATCAGAGGTGAGAGATGAGAAATTACCATTAGACTCAATGTCGGAGATAATTTGTCTTAAAGAAATTTTCACTCTCCTGAGGATCAAACTTGTGACCCATGGATAATAAATACTATGCTCTTCATATTAAGCTAAGCGACTTTGTCTTCGAAACAGACAATCTAACTATATCATTAACCTAAAACTATTTTCATTTTTCCAGCATCTGTTATTGTTTTTTTTACCTGCGACTTACCTGTCTAAATTTACGAACTAAATCACGGAGCTGCGAGGCATGTTTAGCTGCACATTGTCCGTCCATCTCTACTTCAATTAATTTCTTCATCACCTTCTCACGTTCACGATTTAACAAGTCAGCCTCAGTTCTGCAGAGGAAAAAAAATGTTAGCACTTTCTTTAATGGATTTTTCTAGTAAATGATCTATATGGAGCAAAAAGATATCTGGCCCTGGAAATGCACATCAACTTAATAAAAGTTCCAGATTTTAAGACTGAAGGCTAAGAGCTATTGTTGTAATACATGTTATATGAATAAATATGGTGAATAAATAAATTTATGAAAAAATGTGGAAATTGATGAAAGTAGTTCAAGGAACATTATACCGATTGATGTGTACTCTTATGTGGTGTAAATTTTCTATTCCGTTAGTGTCGTAAACTTCAAAATATAGCATTACGATACAATAGTACAATTATTATGTTTATGATATTAAAATTAATCATATTCTGGAAGCAGCTTTTATGTATCACAATGTAAAATTTAATACAGATTATATCCCGTTAATAAGAATTCTGTACTTTATTTTCATTTCGTATAAAAATTTATAAACTCACCTCACAGCATCAGCCTCGTCCCTAAGAATGCCCATACTTTGTTTAAGAAGTCTATTTTCTCGTGAACTGTGCGTCAATTCGTCCCTGTAGTCGTCTAGTTCACGTTCTTGTTCCTCGAGGATACGCCGGGACGTGTTCAATTCGTCTTCTTGACGCTCGTTTTCACGAAGTGTCCGCTGTAACTCAACCTGTAATTTAAGAAATATAAAATTAAAACCTTCAACCATAATTATCAGAAGAGAACGAGAAATAAAACAAAGAAAAATAATTTTATTTTTTTCTCAAGGCTTAGACATTAAATGCTAAACACATAAGAATTTTCATTCCCTTTATATCTATAGATAAACAAAGATTTCAGAATTAACCCAAAGAATCCAAATTGAAAAGCAAGAAAATCATGTTATGCAATTTTACCATATCAAGTCCCATATTTCAGAACCACAGAACCATATACCTTTAAAATGTAAGTTTTTAACAAAGACTGCAACTCATGTGTTAATAAAAACTACAAAAAAATTATCACTTCAAAAACAGACATCGATTTAAAAAGATAACCCAAATAAACCGAAAAGTATGAAATATACTAAATTTTTTTTTTCTTAATCATGCTTAAGAGAAATAAATCATACTGGTTGAAATTCTTCTCTTAACTTTAAAGAAATAAATTAAAATATTATAAATGTGCCAAAATCAATGATTTTCTTATTTTACATGATGCCTATAAATAATAAACAATGAACAGGAAATTATGTCAGCGTCACATGACGTCAATAAAGATGACGTCAAAACATTACAAATAGTTTGGCGTAATAATTATTGCCAGGATCAATTTGATGCATTATACTATTGAAGGAAGCAACTAATGTGCAAAATATTAAACCTCTTCCTGGATTATTATATCACTTGGATACTTTATCACCAAATGGAATGAATTCCCAAGTTATGTTTCAATGTTTATATCTTAGTGACAGTTTTGCTGTTGTAAATTTACATAAATTTTGTACACACACATCATTATAACAAATTTTATATCAATTAGATTATAATCCTTACCGCTAAAATTAAAATTTCAAAATATCTAAAGGTACTGAATGACTGTGTATTCCTAATTTACTAAAATTTCATACAGGATTGAAATATATATTAAAGGCCCATTATGCCTAAATAATCTTCAAGTAACAAGCATCTGGCATTCTCTAAAACCATAATTTTAACATTATAAAATCTACATTTGACTTTTATAAAGAAGTAAAAATGTATTTGCTTCTGAGGCATAATAGGCCTTTAAAGGCAGAGTAAGAAACCGTCTAAGCCCTCAAACCCATTATGTTAGTATAAATATTCTTCAATTGAAACTCTTTAAATTGAAAATATTCAGTACCTTTAATGAATGATTTACTAATTTATTCATCTTTGACAAAAGAATAAATCATACAGATATAGCTGAAATTTTTTCCAACAATATTAAAACTACATGTATGTATAGAGCGAGAAAGACAGTAAAGGGAGAAGTATAGGAAAAATAAATCTAGCAAAAGCAAAACCAAAGCAATGATAATGTTAGATATATATAAGTGAAAATTCTGTGCATTTTATATATCAAAATAAGGTATTTTGCAGCATTAGTTACACACAGTGTACCCCATATGTGTAATGTGTAATATGAATATTCTAAGAGAACGCAAGTACATAACACAGTATAATACTTTATTTATGTAGTTCTAAGGGAGATGAAATGATCCATAGGTGACTAACCCAAAGAAACAAAAATATCCCCAAAGAAACAAAAATATCCCCTAAGTAACAAATTCAAGCATTTACAATCTATCAATTTTTTCCATAACCAGATAAGCACATCAGAATAAAACAAAATGGCGATAAATCAAAATGCAATTAAATTTATTTAAAAGTCAATTATTATTACACCCCTTATTTTTCATAATTGACTAGCGCCAATTTCAATTTGGGACTGTTTATTTTTATTTAAAAGGGTTTTGGTTATAAAATTAATTAAACTGCTGAATTCAGGCTGGAAACAGAGGAGTTTCAGGTCAGAATGCATGGACCAGCAGGCTTAATTGAGCCTGGCACCATGAAAAAAACATTAACCTAATAATATCAAAGCATTCAGAGTGTTATTGTTAAAGCTAAAACCACAGATGACAAGTTATTACATTGCTGCTACAAAATAAAATATTTCGTTAAAATAAACATTCATCAAATATGTTTCTCTGCTTGCAAAAAAAACAATTACTCATGCCAAAATAAAACTTGGAGTTTGATTGTAATGAAAGGCTATACAATTTTGGAAATCTACAATTATAAGGTATATATTGTCAAAGCATAGGGACAAGCTATTATGCTTTTAATAATTTAATATAATTCTTTAAGAGGGAGAATACATTATGATTATAGGTATTATCTAAGAATACATCACAGCATTTTTTTCAAATTATATTATAATTGATATATATATATTTTCAACATATTTTGAGTACCTCATTTTTGAGGGTTCCCACTTCACTCATGAGGTTTTCAATTTTATTTTCATATGTTCGCATCTCGCTATGAACTCGGTCTTCCTCGTCCGTGCTCAGGTCTTCCATACGGAGTGCATCCCGCGGGGTGTGGATCTCAAGTCTGTGGGTGGGGCCCTGTATGTGATAACAGTCATTCTCTTAAAGATTTTGTAAAGAACTTTCCTCGACAACATTTTTTTATTATAAAAATTAGCTAGAATTTTTTTTTTTTTTAAAAACCCTTCAGTAAACCAGGAAGACTATATACTAAAAATTTAATAGATTTAAACTTCCTCTACACCATAATGGAAAAAAATTTAAAAAGAAAATCAACTTTAAAATGGAATACCTTATTACCAGATAATTATGATTATCTAGAAAATCAATCCATTTACCAGGAGAAAAAATATTTCTACGAAAAAAAATTGTCATCAAAATTACTAATTCAAATCCTTATTTTGTTAGATGGACAGTAGGTTATGGTCACATGTAGTTTTGTCAAATTGTACAAATATGTAATTACCATCTTTTTTTTTCTTCTCTCAAAATTATGAATTAGTTAAAAGCCAATTGAGCTGATTATATAAATACCAGTAAGCTTATATTTAAATTTACGACATGTTTTGTCATCAAAATGCATTTTTTTCTAAGTTTGGGTGTGCATGATTGTGGATGTGCGTCTTGATATAGGATGTGTGCTCTTTATGTGTGAGTATAATGTGTTATGGTAAAGCCCTTTTATATAAAATTTACAACAAATTATACAAAAATGCAGTTTTAAATTTTTCTAATTTTTTGTGCAAATCATTCTTTTAGATAAAACATGCAGGGCATAAAAATCATAAATACCTATAACAAAAAATTTAAGTTTGCAAATTTTTTCTTTAAGTAACTTATTTTGAGAACAGAGTTTAGAAATTCACATATTAATTTAGTGTTAAACAAATTTTGTTTTCATTTAAAATATATTCAATTTTTTTTACTCTAAACAAGCATAAACAAGCATAAATGATAATATTTATGCATATATGAATATATAATGCCCCATCATCAATAAGCATATACAAGTAAGTAAAATAAAGCATAATTTGGAATGAAAAAACAAATTTGGTCCTAGGCTTTTAACGACTGTCCTAAATGCGCTTCTGCAGATGTTAATGCATGGTAAAAGGCGCATAATAACCCTCTATTGTTTAAACAAAACTAGCAAAATGAACACAACATTTTTGTAACCAATTCAAACATAAACATAATTGAATTAAATAAACAATCCAATAATAAATATATTGTCAAAAACAAAAAACCAGGCATTAAGCTTGGATATCAATTGGTAACCTTTCCTTTTAACTAAAAAAAAAAAAATAAAACAAAATAAACAACAATTTTTTTTAAAATTCTTTAGTCACTGAATTAAATCATATACTGGTGGCCGTTAGAAATAAAAAGGAATAATCTGGCTTGAGGAGTGGTACAACAATAATTGGTTCAGCCTATAGTTTCCAAGTCATATTTTCCAGAGTTGCAGGGCTGGGAATCAAAACTGCGTCGTATCCTACAAAATGTAAACAAACGCCGCCATCTTGGAACGAAAAATGTATGTTTTTGTTTATAACTTTTTTTGTTGGAAATGACTGAAAACGAGATATATGTATTAACACGCTACACTATTTTCCGCTTCGTTCGGTATATGTTGCTTGCACAACTATTTTGTAAAACAAAAGTTATAGCGAACTTGCAACTCGAAGCGGAGCAGAATTTTTATGAAAATGTGTGGATACGACGCAGTTCATATTGCTTTATCTATCGTTTTCTCCTTCAAATCAATTATATACTCGTTTTCAGAGTTCAACATAAACATCAAAACATAATTTTGGATCATTTACTAAACTTTCATTAAAAAGAGATGTTTATTTTTCAAGAAAATAATGATTTTTACGAAATGATACGACGCAGTTGTAAATAAAATATGATACGACGCAGTTGTATTTTCATTGCAGGCTGCATATTGGTTTAATTATGTGCTAGGTATGCTAATAACATCCAACAACATTTCTTGTTTACAACTTTTGTCAAAAGCAGAGGTCACTCATTGGTTTCATAAAAATGGAAATGTAATACAATTCTATTAAGGCTGCATCATAAGCATCTACAAATTCCAAAAAGCTGTATCAAATGCATTATACATTGAAGCACGTGATCGCACACCCATATGACAACGTGTTCCAATGTTGCCTTAGCATGCTTTTAAAATTGTTCCCGTGAGTTCGAAATGTGAGTGATTACTATTTTTGATACAAAATTCAATAAAATTCAAAAATATTCAAATTCAATAAAAATTCAAGAAAATAATGATTTTTACGTAATGATACGACGCAGTTGAAAATAAAATGTGATACGACGCAGTTGTATTTTGGCAGTCTTTTCAACAGGGATAATTTTGGCAATTTATTTCTATTTTATGGAATAATCACTTTTGCTAGATAAAAAAAGCTCAGATCATTTGCGGTGTATAGCAATGTTCTGTTGCTTTTGATTATTTAGAATACATTGTGTCATGTCCAATATAACATTTAATTTGAAAGTTTACATTGCGGAAGCTACTTTTCAGTTACCTAATTGATCATAATATCTGAAATAATTTCTTATATTTTCCTGTATGTTCAATGTTATCCCTAATTGTTTTCGCAAGAAATGTAGAAATCTATTAACTTGAATTCATTTTGGCTATCTACGCTCTAGGTTAACTGTGGTTCTGCATGTTCTGGGTAATGACTGCTTTTTGTGGTTTGTTTTCAAACTTTCACTCTACACATTAGCTTTACTAGGAGCGAGGACCTCAGGTGCGCCTTTGTGCATTATTTCAGGCAAAATGTTGCACCTGCAGAGAACCATCGACATTTTGAAACTAGCTTGATAGGCTTTCCACACGAAAGAATAAAAAGTCCCTGGTGGTTTTCGAATTCATAGCAGTTCAGTTCAAGTGATTTGAATTCAGTAAACATAAACAGCTCGGCCTCGGTCGGACACATCTGTCTGATTTTTTTTCCCAACAAAATTTGTTAACATCAGTTGTACAAATAAGCAGGTTTTTATGAACATCTGTGTGAAGTTTTAAGATTATAAATATTTGAATCATTTAATTTTCTTATTTCGGTATTACTAGCAGAGAAATTTTCAATGTTAACAGGGGGTTATCCTCTGTGAAGTCATTTTCTGAAAACTTTTGTTTAAGTTGTCAGGCAATTTATTATCAAATAAAAATCACACTTTAGTATAAAGGTATGTTAAGATGCCATGTCTCTAGCCTGTTGAAAATTCGATGACCTAAATTTTCTGTTCAATATTGTGAAAACTTCTCAAATACTGTTGAAAAATCATGTCTGCCTATATCTGTATCCAATTTATCGGTGCACAGCGTAAAATACCTTTGCAAAATGGACACCTTCTTCAGTTGTATCATATGTAACTCGATTTTGAAACTTTAAAGTTTTTAATGGAGAAGAATGATACTTAAGTGCAAATATAGAAAATACATTCCCATCGGCGATAAAGAAATGCAATACATGTACGACAAAATCAGCGGTAAAATTCCGCCGCGCTGAACATAAAATGACTAAACGGAACGCATAACCTACTTGCAAAAATATATTGTAGCTTAACCATTTATAATTTTAACAATTTAATGTTCAGTTTCAAATAATAAAGCTCATCTGTTCTCACCGATTATTAAGAAAATGAACACGTAAATGACATAAGTAAAGACGGAATTGACGGAAATGATGGCTAATTACAAGTAACAAAGGTAGGCATGCAATTTTCGCATAGCTCTCTTCCGATAGCAAGAGACCTTTTCAAAATTTGATATTCTTTCTCTTTTTTTTAAAGGTCATACCTTATTAATACGGGGTCTGGAGAGGTTACACTGGAATATTGAATTTTGTATCAAAAATAGTAATCACTCACATTTCGAACTCACGGGAACAATTTTAAAAGCATGCTAAGGCAACATTGAAACACGTTGTCATATGGGTGTGCGATCACGTGTTTCAATGTATATTGCATTTGATACAGCTTTTCGGAATTTGTAGATGCTTATGATAGGTACTAAAATGCAGCCTTAATAGAATTGTATTACATTTCCATTTTTATGGAACCAATGAGTGACCTCTGCTTTTGACAAAAGTTGTAAACAAGAAATGTTGTTGGATGTTAGTAGCATACCTATCACATAATTTAACCAATATGCAGCCTGCAATGAAAATACAACTGCGTCGTATCATATTTTATTTACAACTGCGTCGTATCATTTCGTAAAAATCATTATTTTCTTGAAAAATAAACATCTCTTTTTAATGAAAGTTTAGTAAACGATGCAAAATTATGTTTTGAAGTTTATGGTGAACTTTGAAACAAATATATAATTGATTTCAAAGAAAAAACGATAGATAAAGCAATATGAACTGCGTCGTATCCACACAATTTCATAAAAATTCTGCTCCGCTTCGAGTTGCAAGTTCGCTATAACTTTTGTCTTACAAAATAGTTGTGCAAGCAACATATACCGAACGAAGCGGAAAATAGTGTAGCGTGTTAATACATATATCTGGTTTTCAATCATTTCCAACAAAAAAAGTTATAAACAAAAACATACATTTTTCGTTCCAAGATGGCGGCGTTTGTTTACATTTTGTAGGATACGACGTAGTTTTGATTCCCAGCCCTGAGTTGGATATTTTCCTGTTTGTAAAGACTCATTGCCAGCATTTTATTTTCTCAAACATTACCAGTACATACAATATTGAATCCTACATTGTAGAGAAATTTAAAACAAAAACTAATAATCTTTATTTTCTTGTATATAATTTTATGTAATTAGTAGTATGTGTACAAATATACAACTTTATTCACAACAGTGGAATGACATCATCATAAAGTATGATGCAATCCATTGATAAATGGTGCTGGAATAATGTCATATTAAAGCACTTGACTTGAAAAACAATGAGATATTTTTATCATTGATATAAATATTAGAAAATCCAGTCTTATAATGATACAAAAAAACATTGAAATAAAATATGGTGTGAACTTTTACAGCCATCCCATTTGGCTGTTCAGAGTATATAGGCACTAACATGAGGACATCGAGTCCCTTAATACTTAAGGGAAAGTTCGATCCTTCAATTCGAAAAGAAGAAGCTTGAAGAAAGTTTTTAGAGTAGCCAGAAAAAATGTATCAATCATGAGTGGTCGTAAACAATTTTTTATCAACCATGGCTCAGTGTATTGAAGAACCCGGTAGTAAATTCTGCAATGGCCACTAATTTTGCCCGCCAGTGTGAGTCTTGTGGACTCTTCAGCATGGAGGTAGCATACTCTTAGTGCTAAATAGACAGATCTCCGGACTATCATAGCATTATAAATTCTAATGCCAAACCAACGTATAATTAAATTAGCCTATAGAGTAAATATCAAACTTAAACAAATGCAACTTTAAAACACTTTCATACCGTCTGTGCTATAGATTCAACTTCCGGTACCTAAATGTTCAGAAAACAACAATAGTGTTTACATTTGATCAATTTTTTCTGCAAATGAAGAAAAAAAATGAACAAAAAACAAGGTAAATAATGAATATCATTTTAGAATATTTCAGTTAAAAAGCTATTTTGTTGATAGAATATTGAATGCTTGGTTTCGACTGAAAAATTAAGGGGATTGTAGAATGTTTTTATGTAAAGTAATAATATTGTTGGTAAAAACAAAGCATTGTTATAATTTAAAAGTGATTGGGATGTGTTGAGGGTTACTTCAACACCTCAAGACTCTTCTGTACATAGCAATACAACTGAATTAAAAATTTAATATTATAAACCATACAACTAAGTCAAGTGTTTAGCAAATTTCATTTTACTTCTAATATTCTCTAAAAAAAAATCTTAAGAAAATTAGTGACAGCGTGGTTATGAAAGACCTTTTGTTTAAAAAGATAATTATTGAATAATTTGTAGGAAAATAAAATTCAGATTGATTTGCCCAATCAAAATTTTTTTATAATATCTTATAAAATAACAATACAAAGATGCCCATATAATCTACAGTCTTTACTGATTCCTAATGATACTAAATGAATCATGATATAGATCTATAAATTTATAATTCTCTTCACAACTGTCATGTCAGGGATTATCAGGATAATTATTGGCCAAGAGAAGTGAAGTTATTGCACTCAGGAGAGAATCCTCTCATTTATATTGCATAAAGCAACATCTGTTCCTAAACACCTGTTAATGTTGTAGCCTCAAATACCTGATGGTGGCCTGAATCAATATTTCTCAGCCAATACTGTGAACAAACCAGCACACTCAGATTAATTTTTTCAAGGTGATTCCAAGTCACTATAGCAGTACCTCATGGGTTTTATGTATTCCATATATAGCAACTTTATTACCACACATTTGTTTTATAAATTTCATTATTCTAATCTGGTTTACACTGCTTTTGTTCTTTCTATTTTTTTAAAGTTACAGAAGAAAATATGAGCAAGGCCTAGTGAATGCCTTTTTCATCAGGACATTTATGATATATTTCAAACGGTTTTCATTTTTATTCCGAGGTAACAGATGTGCCAATGAAAACAACCATCATTTGGCCAAGGGTCAAGGGGGACATTATAATAGATCAATTTCATCAGCATTTCAACTGATGATATGGATCAGCAATTTGTTAATAATGAAAATCCTGTTGTTGTTTTTTTCAGGAAGTTTAAGCAGACATATTACTCACTGTATCATCATTAAATTGCATGAACATTTACATGAATGATTATTGTGCAATAAAACTTACAAATTGTGATGTGCATCACCTTGTGTTTTTGGTTTTTTTTTAATCTGACACATTGTAATTTAAAAATACCTTTTCAGCATTGCACTTGACATAACTGAGTTGGGATATGCAAATAAATTGGAATAATAGTAAACATTACACATTGTGAGTGAAATAATTGGTGATGCACAGCTCAACTTTGTTTGTTTCAATTTTTCCATTTTATACCTTTAATATATATCAACTCCACAGATATAAAAGTCATTTAAGTAAATTACGTACAAGTAAGTAATACAAAAATAAAAGAAACAAATATGATGGACAAGTAAATGTGTGGCACTGTATGGGCAACATGCCTTTAAAAATCAAAGTGAAATTGGTTGTACATGTACATATTATTATTAAAATCAATTTCAAGAAAAATATTTACCAAATCATAAATTGAAAAGCATTAGACAGATGCAAAAGGTAACTTTTAGATGAATCAAAGTTCCAGAAACAGTAAACCAGCCTAAAACTCTTGTATCTCAATTCTAATTCATTTAAACTTCAGAAATTCAAAACTGACCAATCAAAATGCTTAATTCTCAGACTGGTTTACAAAATCTCTAGCATCAATGAAAACCAAAGTGAACAAATGATTAAGGGAGATAAAAAGGTGGATTTGTGGATAATTTGTGGCTTATAAGCATAATAATAAGCCACGTCACGACAAAACCAATGTTATGCGTTTGCGACCAGCATCGATCCAGACCAGCCTATGCATCTGCGCAGTTTGATCAGGATCCATGCTGTTCGCATACAAACCCTATGACAAGTAGAGAAACTGATAGCAAACAGCATGGATCCTGATCAGACTGCGCGGAGGCGCAGGCTGGTCTGGATCCATGCTGGTCGCAAACCCACTATGTTGGTTTTGTTGTTACGCCGCTCAATTATATTTGACCTGTACACGATGAATGATAGAGTACCACATGCACTCATGCTACATTTTGACATGCATAAACATATAGACGTTATACTTTAATATACACTCTTTGTTTCCTATGTCGTCCTGTGTTGTATTTTCCCTTTGATCGACTTTTGCAAAACGGACTTGCCCACTGGCACAAAATAACAAGATTTAAAAAAAAAATTGAACCAAAATAATCATCTACAATGACATTTACACAACTCATAACATGAAATTAATTGAACTTTGATCTATCAAATTTCTCAACAATTAAAAAAAGACATCATTTTGTATTATTTAGTACTATTAAAGCAGCCATGACAGTAATGTACATTGCATTACAATTATCCCCTTCATTTATTATCAGATCATAAGTTAAATTTTATAGTCATCAATACAAAATGAATAAGATGGTATTCTTTTTTTTTGTGTATATTGAATTTTACTTTGAATCAATACACTGAGTAGAGGTCATAAGGTAAATTTCCAGCTTTACATGTTCTGGTGGAGAAAGACTTAAGGTGCCCCTCCATGCATTATTTTGGGCACAAGCACGAACCTGTGGAGAACCACCAATTTTGGGTAAACTAACTGACTCCAATGTTCCTGGCGGGATTGAATTGAACCATGAACAGCGATTAGGAGCACAAGTGGTTTAAAATCAACGATCTTAACCACTTCGCCATGCCCAAAGATAGTGTTCATAAATCAATTATGATGCTGCTCTATGATCAGAAATAAATTTTCAGAAGTTAAGAAAATCAACTTGACCCTTAAAATAAATCAACAAATCATTCAGTGGTCAAGGTTATAATTCAATATATAAGAACTATGCTCAAAGTGTGCTGTACCCAAGTATGTGTATGGCTAAATTTTGCAACAAATAGTTGCAAAGAACTGTGAATTTGGTTTGTTTGTTTGTTTGTTTCATTTTACGCCTTTTCCCAACATTATTTCAGTCATATGGTAAACAACATACATATACTATCGGTAATCAACAGTCTCCAATCAATGGTCAATGGTCACTTGAGACCAGGGACCTTCGAAGACTGGAAACCAAAGACCATCGATAAGTGTGCCCCAAAAGTAACAATGTTTAAAATGTCACTGAAAATGAGATTTTTCCTCCTTTCCCAAACCCTTTTGATAATCAGCAGGGAGGAGTAGGAACTGTCTTTTATCTTTCTGACTTGTCAGTTAGTCTCCGCTGGGACATCTTTAAATTTTGCGGTTATATTTTCCTTACACTAGTTTCATTGGTGAATTAATAATATGATTAAGATTTAGGGAAAAGCTAGCCATTTACCAATAGACAGCCATAAATATATATAAATATATACAAAGGCAAGAAAAAAAAGCTCTAAAAAATAAACAATACTTTCAAAGTTTCTAAGAGAAGAAATCTAATACTAACTAATTATAACAATTAGAAAGGTCAGAAAAGTAAGCATAATTAAACTAGTATAAAACTGTAAGAAATTCTCCCAGACCACTGCCTATGCCTAAATTATCCAACTAAGATAATAAAACTGTTCACCCACAGAAAAAAATAAGGAAAATAAAAAAAAACTTGCTTTAGAAGCAGTTTCGGAGTTATTAAACTTTATGATAAAATCAAAGAAGTTAGAAAGAAAACATGCTCTTTATTTGTCATTTAGTTATAATAGCGACTACAATCCCACCTTGGCAACCTTTTTTGCTCGTTTCTTTAATAAAAAAAATCACAGACACAAATAAGAGATTCACAATGTGTGTATATATATACAAGCATAAAATTATAAATAACAAAGGTAACGTATGACTACCATTACGTTTGTAATATTACATACGATGATACCTATATAATATACATTTTTTTATAATTTATATACCAATTATAAAGACAGATGAACCGTTCATAACAAACTTGACTTGTTTTAAACTCAACTCATTAATTACAATTGTTCTGAAGCTATAACTATTTAAAAGGAGTGCAAGTTTAACTAAGTAAGTCAAATGTGAAATAAAAAAATTTCAAGGCCCACTGCAAACTGAGCTAACTGGCCATTTTGAACTCTAATCTAGTAAATTGTCAACTTAAATAGTTATATATTTTCTAAGTGTACACCCTTCCACATAATTATTTCATGTATTGTTACTAGTTATCTTAAAATAATGGTGATCAACATCTATGGAAACAGGTGCACACACATAGGGAATGGACTCCTAAAATGTTTCCTTGTCTTAAAATGGTGACAGATGTAAATAATTTACATGTCTAGCAAAGGGTTACAATGCATGTTCAATTTCAACAGAATTTTGAACTTGATACAAGAATTTTTATGAAACCATTGCCCATAAATTTGAGATTACATTTTAAAATCCATATTTAAATAAGAAAAAGTTTCTATTTTACAATGTATGTATATTTCACCTTACTTCAAAAATCAATTACATTGTAAAAGGTGATTAAAAGTAATTTATCAAAAGATGCTATCCGGAACTCAGCAAATGTGGGTTTTTCCAGTCTAATCCCGAATTATAGCTTTACTGTTATAACTTTGATGCACAACCCTTTACTAGAAAGTTGTCACCGCCAATGCTGAGGTAATTACATTTGTATTTGTATTTACCAATCTGTCAATGCAAAATTTGTTGGTACCCCTAAGATAAGACATGAAAAACCCATGTTTGCAGAGTTCTGATGTATCTCTATTTTATTTTTATAATTTGCTGCTTTGTTCAGAACAGATCCTATGATACTAAAAGTATTCTATAACAGGATTCAAGTGAACATTGTTACAATTACACTCAAGACAATTTATTCAGCTCAAAGTTTTTTAACAAAAGAAATTCTATATAAAAGATACACTTTTATATCAATATATGGGACTGACACCTAGTATAAAGTGAACTATGATGAATTGGTGACAATTTAAGCTTTGTTTAGCAAGGAGGAAAGAACCATTCAAGTCATTAAAAAGTAATAAAGGGAGATAATCTACACACCTGCCAGGAGACTTTGGACCCCTTTGTAGCTTTTGCCGGTGGAGGAACCCATGGTCCAGAAGACGGGCTCTTACTCCGAGCTCGTGATGATATTGTACTCTTTGTGAACTTTTTTGTACTGGTCTGTAAAAGGTGTACAAATCTTTTTTATATTTATGTATATAGAATTTATTAAATGAGGATTGTGAAGGATGTTTGATAATTTCATAAATTTGCATTAAAAATAATGATTTACCTAGCCATTTCCCATGCTACTAAAATGCCTCTAAATCTCAACAAAACCATAATCATATTTAGGGAAAATTTCAAAATGTAAACCAACAGAATGGTGTACAGTGCCAACCCCTGATCAAATGATAAAGATGTCCTGACTGATCCTGGCCTGCCCTGGTTGCATGGGTATAAATTATAATATGTTTCAGCCAGCAGACTTAGTGTTAATATTTTAAAATAACTTTTGTAGCTTATAACTTCTAACAAAAAGATGCATGGTCTAGAATCTAGATCACAATAAGGTCTGAGTTTTGTGTTGAGTGGCACAGATTTTAATTTATAGGTAACAATTACAGAGGAACACTGGTAACTTACAACTCCGCCTTTTTTCTTCTTTGGCTGCTTGACATGGACGTGCACCGGAACATCGTCATCCACATGTACATGGACTGGAGATGTTGGCCGTAACCCTTTACTCCCAGGCATCTGATGAATTAAAGATATCATTATTTATATTTAAATATCATAAGGCCAAAAAAAAAAAATTGTTTGTTTAGGGTAACCTTCCCAAAATTGCTAGGTAGGGTAGGTAGGGATTTTATTTTATTTTATTATTATTTTTTTTTCAAAATCTGCCGTAAGTTCAGAGTGTTTTCTTGCACACGGCAGTCTTTCCTCCACTACTGTCATTGCCTTTGTATTATCATGTTTTATCATATAAACAATAATTCTGATTAAAATCTGCATAGCTTTAATGCCATTTAATGTTTTCAATATTGAATAAAGACAATATACCCAATTATGTGTTAATGTTGATGTTTGTTTACTACAGGCACTACTTTGAAGTTTGGCTCTAACATGAACAGCAAACAGATTCTCATCAGCTTGCATGGTTGCAATTCTGCTGATCTGAGTCTACATTGGTTGCAAAGGGCAGATCAATCCTCTGCTAGCATGTTAGGAGTTAAGCACAATAAAAGAGCTTAAATGACATTCTGTGATCTGGGTTTCAAAGTTTTAGTTAAAAAATCTAGACGTTGATATTCATGCAATAAATACTGCACATTTCATTGAATTAAAAATTGTAGTGCTGACATATTGAAGCTCTTACAGTATTACAAAGTGTATATTTTGACACTATGGTACAATTTAACAAAGTCTATAATTTGGATTCGGGGTCTAAACCAGGAGTAAATATATGGTTCATTCCGTTTTCTCTAGTTCATTATGTAGAAGAAATTCTACTTCAAATATTCACCGGGGTTTAATCTAGGAGATTGCCTTATTTTCTATTTCTGCAGGGCTTTTTTTTAATTTTTTGGAAAAGGCCTGGCCTTTCAGTAGGGAAAAAAATGCGCGAAAAAATGACATTTTGGGGAAAATCTCTTACATTAAAAAAATAAGTTAATCACTTTAAAATAAACAATAAGAACATGGAACAAAAGTCAGGTGAGTAATACACAATGAAAACAGTTCAAATCTCAGAACCATCTTCGTGGCCTTGAATTCCTTAACATACAAAACCACTTTATTTAAGTTGGATATCACTTGAGTTAATATCATTTGTGGTGTTGCCAAGCTTCAACATTGCTGCAAGCTCCTCACACACCTCCCCTATTTATTTCAGAATGGTTGCTTTGATTTTTCTATGTTAAAACTGAGTTGAGAGCTAAATTAATTAGATGATGATTCTCAAATGACATTTTGACATTTAATGCATATAATCAATTGATTATTTTATGTTTTGTAATTTATTTACTTAAACTAACTCATTCATCTCTGAATTCCAGCCGAAAACCAAACAGGAAGTAGGTCGTGAAAATATGTGATTATAGAATATTTTGCCGATTTTTTGTATTAATATAACTCCATATTCCCCCAGACTATGATTTAAATCTATAAGAATAAATAAGGAAACATATTTTTACAAATTTCTGCATATTTTGAGTGGAATTTTCAGAAAGACAGGATGTTTAGAGATTTGATCAGCGTAAGGGAGAGGGTTGCCGATCGGCGGCGTTGGACTTTTTACTTGCAGGACAATCGGTAATATCAAACACTGAAGGCCCTATAAAAATTTGAACTATTAATGAAAATGTGATTTCTTTTAAACAAACAAGCCATAATAAGCATCTCATGCGTTCTATTCGCATTTATCCGCCCTTTGTAACTCTCTATTCGCTAACGAATATTTTTTTTTTTGCTCAGAAACGGAAAAAATAGTTAGGGTCGGCACATTTTTATAGGTAGGGTTGGGTTACCCGAAACAGACATATTTTTTTTTTAGGCCTAATATAATTTATATGAGGAGCTATGTTAAACATATCAATGTAAATATATTCCTGTCTGTTAAAGTGATATTATAAAGATCAACACTGATCAGTAGAGCCAGAGGGATTATAACAGTCCTGACTATTAATTTTTTAGAGTTTAGACATAATTCTGGTCATTATTACTTGTGTACTTTAGTAAGAAAGTGTTCACAAACATTCATATTTATTCAGGTCATTAAAATATCTTGATAAAACATAAAAATGTTCTTCTTTATGCCTATCCGAATACTTGTGTATTTTAAGTAGTGCGCGCTTTTGTCAAGTTGTGACAAGTTGCTGATACTGATGATAATTTTTTTCAGCCAAATAAAGGATACATATGTAAATATTTCAATGATTCGGTTGTCTGCAAATAATATTTTACTTCACAAACGTTTCAAATTAATCGAGTTGTTAGATTCAACATATTTAAGAAATCGCATTCAATATAAAAATTCTACTATTCCGTCCAGATCGATCGGTTCAGACATGTCAAATTCCTAGCGACAAAGTTCAGACCATTTTTTGCAACATTTTAAAGGGATTTTGTGCAAAGAAATTGTTCTTACCTCTTCAAACTAAATAAAAACGTTTAAAAATCCAAAATATCAATAGTGTTCATATCTTTTTCTGCAGGAATTAATGATAAAAGGCCGCCGAGTACATGACAGATGCTCAAGTTTTTGTTTACGTCCAGTTCGGAATCCTTCAATTCCATTGGTTGTCGCTGATCCCATTTAAAGAGTATTCAAGGGAATTAACTTTGAAAAAATATATTGGCTAAATGCTGTCTGATGCCGTACTTAAATAATACAACAAGTTTAATCATGACAAGTGTTGGTAATTGACCACTCAAATGTTATTTAAAAAAATTGATTAATCCGTTCGCCAAGATTTGAAATAACTGTGAAATAACCGAGAAAATTTGCAATGAGCACCTTGTACCATTGTGTTGCAACGTTCGATATGTTATCTGAAATACGCCATGATGTCAATTTCAACTATAAAATTTTACACTTTGTCAGTGTTGACAGAGAATCGGCTAGTCCAATAAATAAAATTATATGGCGTCGCTTTTGAAATATTTTGCTTCTGGGCAAAGCACATAAAGTGTAACAACCCCGTAACTTCTGACTTAGAATCATCAAGATAGTTTTTGCACTAGGTCTTTTTCATGGCTTGACTACGGGAAAATCTGGGAAAAAAATTGATCAAACCGTTCACCCTGAATTCATGAAATTTATAAACATGACTTTAACTGAAACGCCGTCGTTAAAATTAATATGAAATATTGCACCCGAAATTTTACAGAATATGTATATGTTCAAATTTAACATTGAAATATTAAAACACATGATAATTGGTTAATCTTTGAACAATAACACCCACTTCTTGACTTGAAAAGAACACGTATCATGTAAGGTACAATAATTATCAAATGATAGAATACTTTACAGCAAGCGGAGCATATTCTCATCATGATATTTGTACAAATTTTACTGACTAGGGTCTATTTAATATTGTTATCCCATTATACGTAGAAACGTTTCTCCTTTTTTTATAAATGAAAACAAACTTATGAATACTTCAAAAATATATCATGCCCTAGATTACACATATTCTTTTACAATCTTTATTACAATAATATTAGATCTATTTTACAGTACTTATTTTCTAGCTATTTAAAGTTTTTTTTCTGATGTAACCATTGTTTATTCTTACAATCAAAAATAATCTGAGATATGTTTGTAAATTTGTAAAATTATTGTTTATTTATACGAACTGGAGAATAAAAAAAATAAAACCAGAACATATTTCAGTATGCTCCAACATTTTCCAAAGTGTCAAAAGGTAGGATCTTAAAGTTCAACTAGTAAAGTATTAAATTTGTATCTTTTTGACATGGAAGCACTTATAAACAGTCTTATCATATTGAAGCGAAATATTTTACTCATATTAGATAAATTCCATTGTCGAACTAGTCAAAAGACTACACCTGCGTTAATTCCCATGATTACGTGACGTTACACGCATTTTCTCTTGTATAGGAATTAGAAAAGAGCGGTAAGGACACAAACTTTTTTTTTATTTATTCATTTTAATGTATCCAAAGAAAGTACACTGCGTGTAGTATACTACCAGTTAGTAATATTTTATTAACATACATTTACCAGTGTCTCAATGAAGCTCCAATTGACCGATGCTGGTCAGGTCTTGAGATGCTGCCCAAAATACATTATGTGGCCGCATGGGCGAGTGGTTAATAAGCTAAGAATGGCTACGTAGTCGCGTGCGTTCAAACCCCGTTAGGAACAAGTCGCGTTTTCTTCAAGCAGAAACTTTACACATCATTGCTCAGTACTGGTTGGTTCCAGGAACAGATCAGAGAGTGTGTCTATAAGCTAAAAGCATCCTCCGAAATCGAACTCCAATAAATTCTGTATCAACTAAAATACGACATTTATAATAAAGACACATATTTATAATCAATCTGCGCCAACAGTTCCGGTATATAATGAAATTTTGTCATTTTTCTTTTGTGTGCCTATTTACTATAAATCATTCATGTAAAGACTTATTTGGTTAATTTTTTTATCGTATAATTACTTCCTTATGATAAAGCAGAATATTTTTGTTTTGTTTTTTATTTTATTAGAGTACCAAATGATTGCCACGCTATTCACTGTCTTGTTTTGTTTGTTCGGCACATGGAAAGAGTGAGTATAACTGCTTATATAACGGTTATAATTTCTTGGTTGGTAGGTGTGTATTCTTTGCTTAATAATGGTCCATCCGCCCTTTCTGGCACTGGGAATACGGACCCATGCCGGTATCAGTTATTTCAAACTCAGCTCTTTAAATACGCCCCATCATGGCGTGACTTTAGCGAGACTAATATTGGCAATATTCTGAGATTAACATTTAAGATGATATAGACAGTTCAAACAGTTACAGATACATTTTTTTTACAAGTTCGATAGTGATGAAAAAATCCGTTTCCTAGATACTCTAGTACTTACTTTATAAGTCAAGACAAGTCAAGTCAAGTCAAAAGATTTATTCAGTAAATAAAGGCCACCAGCCCAAAATACATGTCATACAAAATATGATATAAGGGGACACATGACCTCTTCATACAAGGCCTCAAACCTAAAAGACAGAGACTCCTTGCCTTAGATTATTTACCATGATCATGGGAGAGAAATCTGATCTCCATATTAATAAAAATTGTCAACTAGAGCTATATCCCCTTTCCTGTGTAAATAAGAAGGGTATAATAAATCTTTTCTAAACATTCAACTTTCATTGTATTTAATAACTAGATGAGAAATTCATTTAAATCTTAACCTGCTGAATTTATATGGTGGATTTCCCCAGCTTTGAATTTAGAATTAGTCTGTTTAAATTTTATGGGATTTGTTATTAAATATATTGTACAAAAGATGAGCTAAAGAACCTTCCATCCGATCTAAGGTTGAGGTTGATGAAACAAATAAATATTTTTAAATCATGATGATAATTCATTCAAAACATCTCATTCCTTTATTGAAGTGTGATGAAAAGGGACAAAAATCCCTTGTTTACACGTATATATTATTAGTAATAAAGATTTTTGACAGGGTTTGGCCCTAAATAGACGGTTGTTTAGAAATATAACCGCAGCCGCTAGTCGATGATTATATTTCAGACAACCCTTTATATAGGGTCATATAATCTGTCAGAAATATTTATAACGAATTCATAATGCAGCATCTTCTATTTGCTATTAGAGAAAAAAGTGAGATTTCTTGATAATTTTGGCAGAAGTCGTATAAAAAACTACATTCTGACTAAAGTTCAGATATACTTAATTCTTACATGTTGCGCTCATTCTCAATAAAACACAGCATTTGATGTTCCACTGGGTAGCTCTTATACGAAGGTTTTTCTTGAGATCAAAATGTCGTTAGAAAGGTGGCTGCCACTTTGTCTAATAGGGACACTCTCAGTTTTACATTTCTATCTGTTATTTTTCTTTTACAAGTACCATTAATGCCCTAAAATGTAACATACGTTACTGTCGCCACCTAAAATTTTCAACTTTGAAATTGTGTTTCAGAAAAATAAGTTCCAGAATAAACGAAACATGTGCAATTAGTCATTGCTGTGTGTATATGCACTTTGATTATTGGTAAAAATTATATTTGACTGTTAAAATCTCATTGGTATAATGAATGATCAAATGTCGCCAAATGCATATAAATAAATAGTGACAAACCTAAAACAATAAGAAGTGAAACCCAAATTACATAATTGAATCGATGCATGCTTAATAATACAGCATATATATAATTATAAGTAAAAATAAGCTTGCAGCCTCTCAAATATCATTCTATTTTCGGAAATTTTCATTTTTTATTCAAATCTATTCAACAGCACTTTAAAAAGAAACATACGTTACCATTATTTAAGAGCCAATCCATTCAAAGAAGAATCCAAACAAGAAAGAATATTAACATGTGTGTAACTCTTATATATTAACCACAAATTATGGCGGCTTAAACGGTCTTGCGTCATTTTTAACCCACTTTCAATGTAAAAATGAAACATACGTAACAGAAACATACGTTATCAACTTTTTAAAGTAAGTTTATCAAAAGGGAAATGGAAGTCAGAAAGCACGTATAACATCAACATTAACTTCTATTTGACATTAGTAAGTAAATTTTGTTAACTTTGGTCGTGTTTTTACTTGTTTAAGTAACCACAGTGAAACAAACGTTACTTTTATCAAACAGACTTTATATTGTTTACACATGCATATATAAAAACATAAAATCGCATTTTTATGACAATAGAATGATGTGCATTTGATTCCTAAATAAAAAAGTCGATTTTACATGTAAGTTTAAATTCCGTGATAAAGTTCATAAATAAGCGAGTGTGAAACAAAGTTACTCCAACTTACAATTCAACAATTTTTGAAAATTAAAGATAAAGTTGGGATTAGCATGCCTGTTAGTAACGGTTACATTGTATAAGATGTAAGAAGACACAAAATTGTTTTTACAAAGGAAAGATATGTTAATAATATGTTGATGTACCAGCAGAAATGTTAAAAATATATTACAAGATATTGATGTTCTCAGCAACAACTAATTCGTTTCTGCAAAGAGCTTACTGGCCGTATTTCATTCTATATATAATAATGTTAAAATAATATCCATAAATATAAATTATTTTACAAAAAAATAAAATTGTTTTCTCAACCTTTACTTGCATTTGAATAAAATGAAACATACGTGACATCCTATATGGGGATAAATATCGAACTGTTTAGTACTAAATTTTCCAAATATTAAGAAAGTGGAAAGTTGAATATTTTGAGAAAAAAAATGCTAATACAAAAATTGTGTATGCATTCGACCTCTCATATATTATATATGATATATATCCTTTGAATGAGAATAAAATAATCATTTTCAAAATTGACTATTTTTGCTTTGTACGAATATTTAACATTGAAGAAATTGACTGAAAATTAGCAAGGTACCCAACTTCTTCGAATTTTCCTGGGTTAGAAAGTCCCTCTAGATAGAGAATTTACTGATTTTGATATATTTTACAGACATTTGTTATTAATGTGCAGCCAATATGTTACATTATTAGATCTGAAATCTACGTTACCGAAGAAATACAGTGTCATTACCGAAATAAATGCCATCCTGTTATATCATAGCTTCTTGTTAAAAACATTTCTAGCAAACTTACAAAATACCCTAAACATTTACTTCAGCGATAAAAAATGACACAATGACAACATCAAATTTTTAATATTTTTCAACCTCAAATGCTTTATTTTATTGAGAATGGGCGGTTGATCTGATTACCACCATATAATATTATTATGATTCGGATTTCCTTAGCCATACTTACAATAAAACCGGTTTTTACTGAAAGGCATTAGAAGAAGCATCAGAATACCGTTGTCCGTGAAAGTAAAACAAATTTTTGATTTTTGTTAGGAAAAAACGTGTTTGAAGTAATTTGAAACAAGTAAACTGAAAATAAAATTATTATCATTAAGAGCTGATCTTAATCAGATTGTATAAAACTATATAAACGTCATGATTATCCAGTGAAAAGCATCGTTACAAATGTGCAGTATTATAAAAAAATATATACATGTAATATGAATAATAAGGACATACATCGTTTCTTTTTTTTAAAAAAGAGTCAGCTGTAATCCTGGCCGTCCCGTTATTCCGGACAATCAGGATGCAGCCAGAATCTTCAGTATAGCGGAAGCGAACAGAAACACAACAGCAGACGGCTACCTGTCTCTTGAAGAAATGGGGGATATCTTTCACAACTTTGATATAAACGGTAAGATTATGGTGAACCTATTATCTGAAATAAAACCAAGAGCAAGTAATTCATGTTTCACGGGCAAACATCTGCTAGTAGTTCTATACCTATCATCTGGCGTTACATCTGTCGCGGGTTAGCTCTACCAGGTAGTTGTTCGAATGTTTAAGGTATTCTTACTGGAATGCTTTCCCGCTAAAACAATTCTAACATCGGCCAATAACGTAATAAATCGGTTATATCCGGATCGTTATTTTTTCACAATCTTCGTTATCCAATCATTTTTAACCGTTTATGACCAGAATACATAGCGAAATTAGTGCTCGCCAATTTTTTCAAGCCAATCACCAACGAGGATTTTTCAAATTTTCAGGTTACAAATCTTAATAGAACAGATTTTATATAAACTGGACGTTTTATACTATAAACGCAAGTGGGCGGAGCACTAAGCCGGTTAGAGTGCATATTGGATGTTCTTCGTAAATAAGAAAGCTACAGTCGCTTCGCAAGCTCCGCTCCTTTTTAGCTTTCTTATTTACGAAGAACACCCAATATGCACTCTAACCTATACTTAGTGCTCGCCAATTTTTTTAAGCCAATCACCGACGAGGATTTTTCAAATTTTCAGGTTTCAAATCTTAATAGAACAGATTTTATATAAACTGGACGTTTTATATTATAAAACGCAAGTGGGCGGATCTAAGTTTCGAAGAGCGCTAAAGTGAAATATACGCATGTGCAGAGATCTTGAAGTTTACTCCTACTAATCAATATTTATGCATCATGTTTTTTCCGTACACGCACATGTATATCGTCACTACGGCATAGAATTAAAAAAAGAGGTTCATTGAAATGAAAACAGGCAAAATAACAGTAAAAATGTTTTATTACTTACGGAACCAGTATCATTTTATAATTTCCAAATAAAAAGTTTACTTATTCCAACAAAGTATGTATGTAATATTTCTTACTTTTTATGTAAATATTACAGCCCGTGCCGCTGCAAAACCGAAAGTAGGGTGTTTTTATCAATTTTACATTTTTTTGACAATATACTGCCATTTGTCTGAAGATGATATGTATATGAACATAATAAATATGTATGATGCATATATAATCAAGCTACAGGTTCATTTCAGCCCGAAAAATATGTCGAGGTGACGGGCGAGGCAAGACATGTCGACTTTTTGTAGCTTAATATTGTGAAGTTGCAGATCATGAAAATCGGGCACATGACAAATCAGCACATAAATAAAACATTCTAGTGTTCCGTGGTATACATCTTTTCTACGTGTCATACCTCCTTTCCTTATTACAATGAATTTTTTTTACTGCATTGTTATCCATCGCTGGTTTGTTTTTAGCAGAGAATGACCTGTGTATGTTTGGGTACCGTTTGAGAATATTTCGCAAAGAGTGTACCGATATGGATATGCATCGTGATATTGTCTTTTTTATCTAGACAGAATGCGGGAATAAGCTATGCAAAACACGTGATCCGAAAATGTGTACCGCTACCTCTTCCAAATATGGTTATACACATTTAGGCTATCGTGTGACGTCACGCAGTGTGTTGGGCGGAAAAAAATAGGCGGAGCACTAAGCCGGTTAGAGTGCATATTGGATGTTCTTCGTAAATAAGAAAGCTACAGTCGCTTCGCAAGCTCCGCTCCTTTTTAGCTTTCTTATTTACGAAGAACACCCAATATGCACTCTAACCTATACAAGGATGAGTGATTGTAGATAATCTAATGCCCAAGACTTTGAAAAAAAAACGTTCCGGAAATAACCGATTTGCTACGACATTGGCCGGTATTAGAATTTTTGCAGTAAGACTGCCTTAAGGCTTCTACTGGCATAAGTAATAACTCTGTTGATATGCCGTTTTTGTTGTTGGTATAACATCACATTAAAAGGTCACAATTTCAAAATTACTAAACGGTCATCTCAAAGATCACATAAGAACTGTATCACCAGTACTGATCAATTACAAAATGCGGTGATAAAGATTTTTTTTCAAACAGAATCTAGTACAATATATAATTAAAATCCATTTGGTAATAAACCAATATAAATGAATGTCGTAAAATCTGCTTTGGAGTTCTTTGATATGGCTAAAAGGATTGGTATATTTTTGTTTCGAAGAAGAAGAAAAGTGGACTAGTCTATTGCATTCTGTGTGTTTTAAATAATAAATTATCTTGCAGTGACCAAACAAAGTCCTGCGCTCAATGTTATAAAATAGTATTTTGAAATCTGTCTCTCAAATCTCAGGATGTTCATTGCTCAGTGCACATTTCGTGGCCGGTTCAATAACCTGAAATTTGTGTTTCAGCTTAGAAAAAGTAATGTTGCAGAGTAGAAATGTTTCATTAAGAATCAATAACATTCTAAACACTACATAAATGACTTAAATTGTGAAAGTATGTTTGTTTTGTATAAAGATGACCAATGTATAGACGAGACGGAGTTTATCGCACATTGGACAAACCTCAAGCTTGGAGACCTTGATGCAGCTATCCGACTGTTCCACCATGCCGACACTGACAGGGACGGATGTATCGAGAAAGATCCGGATTATTCCAGACTGTTCTATTACTTTGATAGAGATGGTATGATTTTTGTTGCTTTTTGATGCGAGTCATCCAAAAGAGTATTAGTAATTTTAGATTTTGGGAGATAGTGCAAAATATAGTAAGATACCTACACTTCCGGAAGCTTCTGCTTGTTCTTGAGCGCCCCAAATTTTTAAGCAAACATACATGGGAGCTAGATTTAAGTCTCATCCTAAAGACTGTTCTAGTAATTTTAGTTGGCCAGTCCGGAAATCGAACCCACAATGACGAGGTCTTACGCTCTAACTGCATGAGCTATGCTTAATTAAGATGTTTGGAGAAAGACAAGAAAGTGAACATCGATGCCAGTCCAATCAAGTGCCCATGTTTAACGACCGATCTTACCTTGTCACTTTATAATTCGTTTGTTTGAATGTGGGATCCATGATAGTACATTATATAAAATAATACATACCACGTTTATATCATTATTATTTTACTTATTAGTCATTTAGAAATCTGTTACTTTTTTTCTACTATTGGTTACTAGTATTCTGTAATTTGATCACGCTATTATCTTTTGAATATAGGAGACGGAAAGATATCCGAAATGGAATTTAAACGAGTTTGGTACGGTTTGTCGGCGTAAACTGATTTTGATTTTATTAAAAAATGTCCTTACAATAAATAGTTCATTCATAAAATATTTTTTTCCTTTACCCCCCCCCCCTTTCTTCAAGAAAATCTCTCTGTATCATAAGTATATTGGATTACACACACGTATGATCGTATCTATAGAGTAAGGGTGGAACGAATGACTTTTCATTACCATGAAGAATTAATTTCCCATGCGTGCTAAGTATTAATTTAGAATAAGAGGTATTTTTGCCAAAACGGTTAATTTAATTATTCTTTCTTACATTAAAACCGCGCATGCAGGTATACATTCACAGAGGACAAACAATGCATTAATAGACCTCGCGCCGTTTGTTGCACGCTTTTTAATACGCGCAATGTAAAAATGACGGGTCAAAATTCATAGATTTGGCTAATATTCCGTGGAAACTGCATGGAGGTAAATTATCACCACTTTTTGGTTTTTAGGGCATGACTGGTGACATGTCCGGGGTCCTTACTCGACAGCGAAACTGCTTTTTGTGCCTTACCGGGCGGATGGACCCTCATTAACCATAGACTAAATACATACATGTGCCTTACTGGGCGGATGGACCCTCATTAACCATAGACTAAATACATACATGTGCCTTACTGGGCGGATGGACCCTCATTAACCATAGACTAAATACATACATGTGCCTTACTGGGCGGCATGGACCCTCATTAACCATAGACTAAATACATACATGTGCCTTACTGGGCGGATGGACCTCATTAACATAGACTAAATACATGCATGGCCATGCATGCATACATACATACATATATACATACACGCACGCACACACACACACGCACGCACACACGCACGCACGCACGCACACACACACACACACACACACACACACACATATAGTCCAGGAAGTGATATATAAATACGCCCTCGTACTTCTTCAGATAATTATGCACAAAAGAGTGCACTGACCCTCCATTCTAACCAATATTTACATGTTATATGCATATTGAAATAAAACATTAGTAGTAAAAAAAGAATACATAAGAGTTACTCTTGCGTGAATCAAAATATTTAAAGAGCGACGACATCAACGTCCGGTCGAAAATTGACCGCACATCCCCGCCATTGCTAGGAAATAGAAAAAAAAAAAACAAAAAAAAAACAGAAATTTATTTCAATATAGATTCCTAATACAACAGTTTTAGTATATTATTTGTACAATATTTGATTTTATAGAATACGTTGAAATATAATGGTTTGCGGCGTCAAAGATTCAAAATTGCAAGGACTCGGAACACCTCGCCGATTCCCTCAAGTCCTTATCCGAAGTTTTACGGAAATGATCGAGGAGATATACGACTGTAATTAAGACTATGGCACTCTTATAACATAATGAACAAAAGTCAGTCATGAATGTCTTATGGATAAGTTTGTAGGCATGAATTTAAAGTATTATATACACACAAAATTTCTAAAGTTTCAACAATTTTGTATAAACTCAGAGAAGCTCCTTCAGCTTTCCCGTGGCTGCTGCATTCTTCACCTCCGTTCCGCCGCCGAAAAACTTTCCATTTATAAAAACACGTGGTACCTGCAATAAATAAAGTTAAAACTGTGAAAACTTATCAAATTTTGTGGTATCAAAAAAAAAATAAAAAAAAAAAATAAGAAAAATAAAATAAAGACATTCAATGTAAAACCTTGGCATTTGGTAGTCAATCAGTGAAAAAAGGAATTCCAAAGATGTCGACTTATTTCGCGGTAAACATTATCTATAACAGTTATAACAGTTTAAATTATTCTTATTGTTTATATTTTGAATGTTGTTCTACTAACAGTCCGGAAAATGACCGGAGTTTGTTTAAAGCACGGTGCCTATATCAGTTTATTTTTTGGGGCAGAAAGCCAATAGTAAAGTCGGTCAAGAATTAATTTTCGTCAAAAGCATTTTTAAAATTCCATTATTTTTATTGGATAAAATGTAAAGCCCGCTCATTCAAATGAGAGTTACCAGTACCTAGAATGTGAGTCTTTTTCGTCATAAAGTGACACAGCCTGACAAAACAACTGATTTTTACCCAAAAACTTTTTTTTTAGTATAGGTTACTAATTCGAATGAACAGACACTACACGTACTTTATCCCATTGAAACCTCTGGCGTTACGTACGGACATGCTTCACCCCCTTAAGCTTCGAAAACTGGAACTCAGACATATAGATGTTAGGTTATCCCTTTTCTATAAGATTCACCATGGTCTGGTTGCTATCACCGTAGAAGAATACGTGACGCACCTCTGCCGGACATCACGCCATGGCCATCCCCTGTGTTTTGCAACTTCAGACTGCTATAAATTCCACTTCTTTTCTAAAACTGTACCACTTGAAACACCTACCCCCTGCAGTTGCCCTACCCCCTTCCCAAGAGCAGTTCAATGCAGCCTTAGCCTGCACTGAACATATATCACCTAATTTTCCAGACCCCCTGTTCTTAACATTTTTAATATTCTTCTTTAATCATCTTTAAAACAACTCTTTTTAACTTTCTTGGATGCGATTTTGACGCTAAAACATGTGATAGGCTTGTCACTATAACAGAAGATGGATAGAAAAACAATGAAATACTAAAAAAGAAAAAAAAAATCTTAACTGGACCGACTTTGTATCGGTTTTTTGCCCCCACGTAGATCCAAGATTGTGACTAAAACAGACGTGCACCGCTAACAAAGTTCGAGACATTTTTGGGATTCACGCATTTTAAAAGTTTTGCACCGTCATGCTTTAAGTTTATAAAAATAGCTTCACTAGAGAATGAATAACTTCCTTGTGTAAAGTTGTGGGCATTATCAATTTGAGATTTTATACATATTTTAACAGATAATTACTATAATACCTTCAGTCACTTAGTCACTTTTAGTTAACGCGATCAGTTTGTTATTTTTGTCTGGATGATCTTCATCTAATGTTGCTAGACGTTGTTGCCCATTCCCATTTGCATATTACTATATACCTATCGTTTGTGCTATGTTTTACATGTATGTGCCGCAATATAAAATATGTTTACACTAGTCAAATATCTAGTTAAAAGAAAGTTACTTATAAATATTAACCAAATTCTCGAAAAACACAACAAAGAAACATGGGAAAGGAAACAAAACAACAATAACAACGAAACAGACATGTACACAAAGACACACAAAAAGCGTAAAAAAGGAGAAAACCATACTGATCTTGCTCCAGTCATATTTTCAAGTTCATCCTGAATTGCTTGACAGTTTTTCTCGCCATCTATATCCCAGAAACCGTAATCCTTTTTATCCAGACCTCCGGATTTTATATAGTCCGCAAACACATTTTTGGCCATTATGCTATAGCCACACGTACTCTTTGCTATTACCATCACCTTCTTGCTCTTTATTTTATCTTCTATGGCTTCTTTGACGCCCATTGTTGCAGAAGATTTCTTGCTGCAGTCTTGACTTCAGTATGCGCCGCTTATAGTAGTTATGAATTAAGCAAACGTCTAATTTGGCTTATAATTGATTAAAGCCTTGGTTATCGATTTAGATTGGTTATTTAAAATGTGCGTTGAAACGGGCCAATAATCAGGACTGTTTATTGATCGTTCAATGTCAACATTGTCTGAAAGTATATTCAACAAGTGTATTAAGTTACCTCATGCAGTAAGCATAATACATTCATGATAATTATATAGGTTTCTTCCAATATTTCAATTTCAATGGAGATAAATAATAAGTTTGTAATATGTACATTAAAATATATAACTTTTTGTAACGATCAGATATTAGTCGTTGTGAAAGTGATTATGAGAGTAAATTTTGTTAATTTAGAAAGGGTGTCTACTGAGTTTGTTTTTTACTTGACGATTCTCGGGATTTTAATACTATTTGACATAAGTCTATACCAATAACTTGTGTGTAAAACTTTAGATCATTCTCTCACTCCCTTTTTTATTTAACTTATTTTTCAATGAAAAAATGTACCTATCTAGAATCCTTTCTATTTAACTTTTTTCCAATGTAAAAACTTACCTAACAAGCTAGAATGAAAGCGTTTGTAAACGCTTTTTAACTCCAATCAGGCTAAAACGACTCTAGATATTCGATTTTTAATTTAATTATGAGAATATATCTTTATAACCTTTTCATAATTTCCCATTTTTAGCTTCTCAGTTGATCTGTGTAATAGTTTCAACTTAAATTATTATTTTAGGCTTTTGGATCTCAATGGAGCGCACCGCTGCTGAAAATTTTGCAGGAACTTTTTTTTTCTCAAAAATATTTCTGTTTCAGTTCTGTTTGAGACGCATGTTCAATGCTTTATACATACTAGTAATCGACCTGATACTTCTTAACAAGCCGATATAAAGGTCATCAATTGTCATAAACAATCATACCCACTTCATCTTAAATTCGTCAAAAAAAAAATTCAAATATTTGGGTCAAAAACAAAATAAAACAATCACATTTTCTCAAATTTCTAAAGTTTGTGCAGTAAAAGTTTGATGAAAGTTCCTAAAAAATGTTTAGCAGCCCTGCGCTCCATTGAGATTCAAAAGCCTTAAATTATAATTTAAGTTGAAATTATTACATAGATCAAATGAGAATCTAAAACCACAAACGGGTGTTAGATAAATTTCCGTTTGTGGTTTTAGAAATCATTTTATTCTATTTTAGAATAACATTTAAATTTCAACATTCAAATTTTGAACTCGTATAAGATAACATAGATGGTCTTATAACAAAAACGTAGATGGTCTCACTAAGTTATGTATACTGTCTGCACGTGCAATGATTCCCACGATGAAGTATGATAAAATAAAAAAAAACCCGTAATCTTTGAGTTTAGTTAAAGGGACGACGTTTTGGAGAAAGGTAAATATTTTATAAATTACATTATTTCTAGTTTTTTCAGAAAATTTACACCCATTGATTAGTATTGATTGGTTTCAGGAACGGATTTGAGAGAACGTGTTAGCTTCGAACACAATCGAACTAAAATAAATTCGTTTTTATAAACTAAATAAAACTTCATTTGTATTTCTAAACATAAGCCATATTGTGCAGGAAAATCTTTAATTTTGAAAAGTTTATATTTTCTTCATATTTCATCTCATAAAAATCTAGAATTAAATGCTTCATTTAATTTCTATTCTATCTAACTTCTTCATGTAATCAACTATTAAATTTTGTAATTTAATTAATTTTTTAATCTACTGATATCATTTCTTCTATATATGGTATTTTAAAAGCTCCGACAACTTTGATGCTAATACGTCACCTTAGTGCAATAACTATTTATCTCCTATTAGATTTAGAAGGATTTAACCCTTTACTGCACTAAGGTGACGATATAACACCACTAAAATACTATCTTACGAATGGTTTAAACTGAAAATAGTACAACACACAGCCCTCCTTCATTCCTGAAATATCAACTATTGTTTTAACATGGATAAAAATGCACATTCGATATCTTAATTTCAACCTCAATACAAAGGACTTCAATTTTGTACCATAAGTGGTTGTAACATCGAGAATGCGTATTTGTTCTAATTGTCTTCTTTAATAAAGAATATGCGAAGGCATGATTATAAGGGACTCCATCGAGTTCTTTTGGCATGACGGGACTGAAAATATTTCATTTTAGTGATTTTATTACCCAGTTATCTAGAATAATCATTTTTGTTGTGGAAAAATTACATGAAAATAAAAAAGAAGTTTTTTAAGTCAAATCAAGCTAGGAACCACAATCAATATCAATTTTTAATTAAATTCTGAGTATATTTCTTGTTAATCTTTTTTTCCCCATATTTTCCCGCTTTAAGTGGCACGGCTGACCTACATGTATGTAAAATCTTTATTTATTTTATGTTTCTAGGGTGTTTGGACCTCAGTGGAGTAACACGTAAGTTTTGGCTATCATGCGCTTTTAGTATTGTGTGGAATTTTGAACATTTTTATTTTTCCGTTTTCATGCAGCGTTCTTTAAGCTTTCCATTTTTTTACCATATTTTCAGAATGTTAGCAATTGTCATTGTCTTCACCACCATTCTTATTGGGACATGGACATGGTATGTACTTTATTAACCACGGGGGTATGGTTCATTGAATATTCACAAAATATGTGAAATTACACTATATACTAATACTAATATACAAGGGTAACAACTCCTAAAGATTGCCGAAAACTTTACACTAAATACTTATATACAACAAAACCCCATTGGAAGGTGTCTATACCAATTCAGAGTTTTCGCCTCGTAGTTTTTAGGGGGATAGATAAAAAGTAATGCAAGATGTAGCCTATTAATTTATCTATCAAACTAGAATATATATGTTATTCCTCGTAAATAAATAAATTGATTAGGCTATATAGTGTAATTTTTATTTTATTTTTCCTCTTTCATTATAAAACTACGAGGCGAAAACTCTGACTTCGTATAGACACATTCATATAAGAGTTATTACCCTTGTCTATATGTTAGTATATAGTACAATTGGAATGGACTTTTTGAACATTTAACAAACCAACTGTGTTGTTTTCTAAATTTTTAAGTTATATAATTTTTTATAATTATAATCATTAAGTAACCAGTC